AACTCTTGAGGGTGGCTTTTCAGTAGGATCTTTGTCTGCCATGTTGTACTCTCAAAAATACTGGGGATAATGCAATTATGTAGCAGATGATACTGTCCTTTTATATCTTTTGACTGGTTCACATTGCTTTAAATGCAATTGCAAACTTTTAAAGGGAAACAACCCAGAAGGAGTAGTTTTAGATTAATGTATTACTAGGTTTAGTATAAGTACAACTACAGAATTATACTGTACAACTTTACAGACAACTCAACTAGTAATAGTCTCTAACTAAGGTGCTAAAGCATTACTGATTCTGTTAAAGCAATTTGCTCTGAGTATAAGTGTGTATGGTAAATGTCACACAGGATCTAGTAGGAATGGATCAAAACAGTTTAGGCATACATTATTGTAAGCCTTGTTTGCTAAATACAGTAAGGAAAGAGTTTAGAAGCATTTAGGACACAATGAGAGATGTTGCAAAGTAGTCTAGCTTCTCAGCAAACTAACTTTGATGATACTAGATTCTATCTAGCAAAGTGCTATAAACAGAACAGGTATTGTTTCTAAGAGTTTCTTAAATGCAAACTGTATTATCCTAGTAAAAAAAAGTATGTGTTACACAGTCAATTCAGCAATCCAAAAGTTGACTAGAGTAGTAATACTGTAATAAGACTCAGACCTTAATAATTCTAATCTGGAATTGATTTAACTGTTAGCCAACTAGTACACTAGGTGTAATAGTAGTAGTAATACTTGTCCTTAGACTATTAATGAATAAATAAATAAAAGGAATAATAATAATAATAATAATAATAATAATAATAATAATAATAATAATAATAATAATAATAATAATAATAATAATAATAATAATAATAATAATAATAATAATAATAATAATAATAATAATAATAATAATAATAATAATAATAAAGATATTAAAAGGATTTAAGAATATTATAAATAGTTATAATATCTGTGATAATCAACAAGTATGATTTGACCTTACTAATAAAAAGGGAGGTCTGATATAATACATTTTTTATATTTTGAGAGAGTATTACCCTTATCTACTTTTACAATATTAGCAAACCTTTTAGTATTCTATACAAACTTATAACACCTTATAACTTAAGGTCTAATATTATGTATTTTATTTAAAAAAAAGTTTTAAATATTTCACACATTTACATTATAATATAAGAGTTTAAACTTCTTTTACAATACTCAGTAGAAAAAGAAGGTACAAGAGGACAGAAGGCTAATTTGGCTTTTGCAAGCATAATTGTCTCAAACCTATTATTAATTATACACAGTATTATTACAGTAGTAAAGACAAGTACACTATGTACACTAACACTTAACTGTTTCTATTACTTGTTTATTAATACAGACACATATTTCTTAAATTAATCTTGTGAGAGAAAGACAACCATACTCTAGTACTTAGATTTTTTCATTATTCTCAGAAACAGCTCAGTATACAGGAGTGCCTAGCTCAAGTATTCATGTATTGAAAATATGTTTTCAATGATTATATACTATATTTATGTTTCAAATGGTGACCATTTCTCCTCCCTCTTTGTATAATCTGTAGTGTTTTGTGTTGTAAAGTAGTCCCAATAACGAGCAGCATCTGCTAGGTCTCTAATTACATATTGTTCCACATCTGCCATGACAACACCATGTCTTTCAGGCATACCATTGTAAACTGTAGATGGAATTCTTTTCATTAGCCAAATACTGTAAACATGATGAGGAAGGACTTGCTTATATGTCTGTTCTTCTCCTTGTCCTTATACAGAGTCCAACCACAGCGTGGGTGATCTTCTGGTGCATATGACAACTCTAGCAAACAAATATATATATTATGCAACCATGTTCAATCGGTAAGACATCTATTCACTTACGTTGTGCAAATAACTCAGCTGGGTCGTTTGTGTTCCCAGTGTAAAGCACCTGTTCGAACCTGTCCGTTTTGAGCGAGTTTACTCGCTTTGGCTGCCTCTTTGGGTCAGTACTGCGACGGTCTCTGGTTGTCATGTTGTGTTCTCAGAAAAGTGGGAGTTGAAGCAGGTTGAAAACATGCCCTCCTTTTATACTTTGTAGAGTATCATTATTGCTTTGAGTGCAATTTCCAGAAAACATATCATCACATGACGTGTGAATGTATTTTGCTACATGCTTAGGCTGAAGTACTCTCTGATTGGACACAAAACACATGTTTTGCAATTTCTTCATCAAAAACTTGATAATTTGTCTATTCTGGTTTCAGATATTTTGCATTGAAATTTCATAACATACTTGAAGAGGAATAGCCCCAGAGTAAGGGCATATGTCATGATGGCCTTACTGTTTTTATTCAACCAATTCTGCCACACAAGCAAAGAAATCGTTCTGTACTGCATAATAACTATGATGCAGAATCCACATTAGCTGTTTCGAAACAGCTGTGTGGGGGGCGTGCTGAATACATCAAAGTGGATTAGAACTAATTACAGTAAGTAAGTCTCACAGATGATGAGAAATGTGGCAATGTGGCGTCATGAGAGTAATAACTAATCAATATAGTGCAATTATTGTCTGTCTACATTGTCTTTAGCCCTTTCGTAGATTCACAGATTCAATATATGTATTTAATTATGTACCAGAGTTATAAAGGAACAAGCAGGACCATTCGGAAAATATTAGGCCAATGCGTGTCTCTTTTCTTCCTCCTTTTTTCATATCTTGCATCTGTGTATATATGATGTGTTCTCTAATTATGCTCAGAAAAACAATGCACAGAACATTCTACATATAACATTGTATGATGAGAAATATATTTGGGTGGTGCGGACCGTGTCATGACAGAGTTAGACTAAAGTTATTATGAACATTTATAATACTACTGCACAATACAAAAGCCGTTTTAATGGGCTACTTTATTTCTCTAACTATCATGGAAAGCAGTCTATAGAATATATCGATACAGAGGTTCTACTAATAGACAGTCCAGGCTGCTGATGTGTGTCCTTTTTTCAGCCAAGGTATATAATTGAGATCTAAGGCACTCCAGTCACTTTTGGAATTTGTTGAAAGAAGTTAAAAATGACTCGTTGAGTATATCGACGATTCGACCCGTCGAAGCTAGGAGCCAGCATAGGATTGGGGACAAGAGTTGTGCAAATTTATTTATGCAGTTGTACTGCTTATACTCAACATTATGCTATCCCTTAATTTTCATATCTGCTCTATTCTGCCATCTTCTCCTTCTCTGCTTTAATATGTATTCATTCATCGTAAAATATTTAAATTGTTCTAAATCAAAGAACATGAATTCTTCACCATCAAATTCTTTGGTTTTTTCGTCAAAAACTACATAAACCCGTCAGCTCTAATACGCCTGATCTAAACATTAGCAAAACTTACGTCTGTATGCTCCTGTATCTTGATTTTGATATAGAGAGTAATTTCGATACTTAAAATTCCACTGTCCGTCAGGGTTGTGCATATCTGAAAGAGTTCCAGGCAGGGTAAGTACTATTACGCTCTAGTAATATGAACAAAATGTCTGGGGAGCCGCTAGATAATGATGGTGAGAACGCACACTCTAAGAATAGTTTTTCATCCGGATAGCTCGGCTTATCTATCGGCACATAATCAACTTGCGTCCGTTTCACTGTCGAATCTCTTCTGCTTGGCCGCTTCCCCGTCGAGTCGTTCCTTTCTAGATTTGTCCGTTTCTCTGCTGAGTCTTTCCTTTCTGGTTGGCCCCCCGTTGAGTTTCTTTTTTCTTGTTGATTCTGTGCCGATTCTCCCTTTTTTTCCGACTGTCCCCAGCTACCAAACCAGCTAGCAAATGACATGTTGAATGGCTGAGAGGTCAACGACTGAGTAGATTAAGGAGAAGACTACCTTGTAGTGCCTTATATGAGACCAAGTTTTGCTCCTTGACCGATTGTGCTACTTGCAATATGACCAGTATTGCAGCAGAGAAATTCACTAGCGTGTGGCTATACCTTAGCATGCCTGCCTTTGAAATATACGTGAGTAGGGTAACGTGAGCAGGGTAAAAATCGTACAGGACATGTTCTTATTGTCCAAGCAGTGAAGTTGGGTAGAACATGTTCCAGCATACAACACAATGATGAGTACATGCTATGACGATATATCCGTAGTGATATGTAGCTTCCTTCGCGAAATTCTTGCTAGCCATCTGGATATCACTGTTTCTTGCAGTTCTGAAAATTCGTCTTACGGAGTTCAGCTAGGATACATGCAGCGGCAAGTAATACAGATGTAGCGATAACTATGAGAAAAGCCTCCAGGAGTTTCGCTCAATGCTAGACTTAAGTGAAGAAGGGCGTGTGGCTGAATCCACTTAAATTCAGGTCCTTGTGAACTCGGGAGAGTGTGCACTGGTTACTGCAAGAGCCTGGTGTCTCAGAAACGCCACTGGCAAAAAGGAAGCACAATTCCGGGAAACCCATGATGATAGACGAACGAATCTGAGCAAAGCTTTAGAGTAGAACAGGGTCTTTTCGAGCACCTTCGTTGGCGTCTGAGAAATTTTCATCTGATCGATAATTACTGCAATGTTCCACTGAGCTTGGCACACCCCGATTTCAGTAAAAACCAGGACTCCATGCGATCATTGCGTCCTGGCTAGTTATGATGGCTGTACCTGAGCACTGGATCGCGCAAAGCAAGAAACCCATCAATAACTTTGCATGTGTCCGGATTCGGCATTCGGCTGAAGGAAGGAATCGGACGTTGCCGAGGTGGACCTACAACGTGCAATGTGTGACGAAACAGAGCGCTTCCTTCCGGACTCAGGGGTATATAACAAGTCTCTGCGTGAAAAAAAGAATAAATAAGAAAAACTGCCACTGCCATAGCATCAAGTCAAATTTCATTGTCCAGTTACCATGTCGAGCATCTTCGGAAGTCTGTCAGGAGGAGACCAAGTATGTTTTTCGTACCTTTATCCTTTAATACCTTTCATGGATTAGAACCTCATACATGTCTCATAGACAGCTCACCCAGCAAGTTAGCCTGCGCAACTTGTCCTTTCGTCCACACAAATAGACTCAAATATTGTACACAGAATCAGACTTGAGTAAAGCTCCCGCGAGCGCCAAAGACGAGAATCGCGAGCATACCAGACAAGAAATCGGTAAACGCAATGAGAACAATTGGTCGACCGAGAGCGTAGCGGGCAGCTTCGTTGGTGGAGATTCTAAGCAGAAAGAGACATTACTTGGAGGACATAAGGTGCTTCGTTCTTATGATGAAGTGTTAAAAACTTCAGCTCATTGTTGCACATTATCTTGCAGGCCGTCCCTCTCAGTGGTTCGAGGTCGGAACCAACCGTATAAATGCCAGGCCTGATGGATTAACGGGCGTGTAGGAAGAGTGACTTCTGTTCTTCCCGATACAATTAACGAGGCAGATAACGAATGTTACGTTCTTGTCTACCAGTAGCTTGCCTCTCATCATACTTATGGTAAGTGCTATGATGCTTTGCAGTCGGCAATAAATGGTGACTTCCTGAGCCAGGGAAGTTCTAGCGACAGAATAAACTCAGTCCCGTTTCCAGCATTAGTGTTTTTAGCGCCTCACTGAAGAGTGGTGATAAAAATAAGTAATCGACGAAAACGGCATCAGGGCACCTTTGAATGCATGAGAAACTAGTGTATAGGACACATGATAGACTTACATGCCTCTACCAGAATTCTCTCCTCCGTTTTCTGACTGCCATCGCCATCGTCTTTTGCTCGCCCCATTGTGAGCGTATCTTTTCATGCTCTGTCTCCAACTTTTCGATTGTCTCTTTCTTCACCCGTCTGTCTAGAGGGACTTGCTGAGCAACAAGAAAAGGTGGGCAATTGAACTCCTTTGCAAGGCGCCCGCGTGTGTAGTATGAAGGATTCGAGGCCCGAAGTTCCCGCATACGAGTAAAGTCGGCTTCCGAAAGCACACGGTTGCTAGGGAACTTCCGTTCATTGCGCATACGTGGCGGTACTGATACCGTCGATTGCGTCGATTGCTCAGTGCTTGATGACTCGGCTGTGTTGGCTTTTGTGCTTTGGGCCAACAAAGGCGAAGCAGGGAGGACTGTTGTTGAAAATGGAGATGGAGCAGTCGGAGGTGGCCGATGGATGAAAGTTAGCCCATCTGGGAAATGAGCGATTTCAGCATTCGGACTCGTTGTGAGTGGGTCTACAATTTTAGGGGATGGCTTGACAGCTCTCCTCGTCGCGTAACTCCGTGCAAACTTGACGAACGACAGTGACGGCGGCGGCTGTTTCATGTTAGCCTGCAACATCGGTTTGTATCAGTTTCTAAGTGAAGAAACGAACAAAGAAAGGCGGTAAGATCACGTACGAGGCGCCTCAAGCTCGTGTTGCACTTGCGGCTGCACAGTGCAGATGGCACAAAAGTGAGGAGGACAAAGCAGCAGGAAAAGTAAAGCCGCGTTACTGCGTCACATAAATGCTATATATAGACATACTTTCTTTTGTAAGCAAAGGATATGACAATAGTCACGCAAATTCCAAATTGTGCCTGCCTACACAGGCGCTTAAGTACAGGGTTCGGGCTTGACCACCTACCACCATCTTCTTTCAACATGTCTGTCTCTGGCTCCTCGTCAAGCTCTTCCTATCAGATGCCACCTCCCAATGCGGATCTCGAGACAACCTGGCGGTTTCTCGAAGAGGGCGTCGACCATATCATGACAAAGCTCCAGACAGGCGTGTCCTATTCCAAGTACATGAGCTTGTATACTGTCTCGTATAATTACTGCACATCATCGAGGATGCACGGGAACGCAGACTCTAGCATGGTTTCGGGAAGATGTACGTGTTCCCCTTGTCCTCTATCGCGAGTAATGCCGCCACCCGCCACCCTGGACATTGAGCATGATACTGACGCGTTCTCCACTTGTTCTATGCAGCTGGGGCAAACTTGATGGGCTCGGATCTTTACAACAAGCTCACCAAGTACCTGATCCAGCATCTGAAAACTGTACGAGAGGTGCGTGATCTTCAAAGTGAACGTCGTGTGACTATATTGATGCGCGTGTTGTCTAGGGCGCGGAGAACCTCGTGGATGAAGATTTATTACGATATTATGCGAGGGAGTGGGATAGATATACGACTGGCGCAAACTACATTAATCGGCTGTTCACATATCTGAATCGTCACTGGGTGAAGCGGGAAAAGGATGAAGGGCGGAAAGGGGTCTACACGGTTTACACAGTGAGTCTCCCTTACCAACGATCGCCACATAAATTCTTATTCACGATTTGCCGTTATGTAGCTCGCATTAGTGCAGTGGAAACAAAACTTTTTCAATCATATTCACAACAAGAACGCTAAATTGGCCGGTGCTGTCCTTAGGCAAATCGAGAAACAAAGGAATGGCGAAACCATCGATCAGACTCTCGTGAAGAAGGTTGTTGACTCGTTTGTGTCTCTGGGTCTTGATGAGACAGACACAAACAAGCAGTCCCTCGACGTATACAAAGATCACTTTGAAATTCCCTTCATCGCTGCTACTGAGAAGTACTACAAGACCGAGTCAGAGGCGTTCCTAGCTGAGAACAGCGTTTCGGATTACCTCAAGAAGGCCGAAGAGAGACTAAAGGAGGAGGAAGACCGCGTTGACAGGTACTTGCATACCACAACACGGAAGACGCTGATCAGTAAATGCGAGCATGTTCTTATCCGTGAGCATGCTGAAACGATGTGGGAGGAATTCCAAAAACTACTCGATTTCGACAAGGACGAAGATTTACAACGCATGTACTCACTTCTTTCGCGGATCCCAGAAGGTCTTGAGCCTCTACGTAAGAAGTTTGAGGAGCATGTCAAGAAGGCTGGTCTAGCGGCGGTCGAGAAGCTCGTAAGCAGCGGTGACAATGCAGCAGAGGAGACGATTGATCCAAAGGCATATGTCGATGCGCTGCTCGAGGTACATAAAAAGAACAGCGAGACTGTTGACCGAAGCTTCCGTGGTGAGGCTGGCTTTGTTGCTAGTCTTGACAAGGCGTGCCGTGAATTCGTGAATCGCAATGCTGCGACGGGAAGTTCGTCAAACAAGAGCCCAGAGTTGCTTGCGAAGCAAGCAGATTCGTTGCTGCGCAAGAATAATAAAGTATCGGAAGAAGGTGATCTTGAGAGTGCGCTCAATCAAGTGGTATGTCTCTTGCCCTTTATGTGAAGTAAAGCATCTGATTAATATGGCTATCTAGATGGTCATCTTCAAATATATTGAAGATAAGGACGTCTTCCAAAACTTTTACACGAACAAACTTTCGAAGCGTCTTATTCACGGCGCTTCTGCGTCTGACGAAGCTGAGGCGAGCATGATTTCCAAGTTGAAGGAGGCATGTGGTTTCGAGTACACGCAGAAATTACAACGAATGTTCACTGGTAAGAGCTTCCCCTTATTTCTTTAGTTCCGATAATTAAAGTGGCCTATTTAGATATGAGCTTGAGCAAGGATATGACGGATGCTTTCAAAGAGAAGATGGCCATCAGTCACCCTGAGGATGCTGATATGACTTTCACGATCCAGGTTCTTGGGACGAACGTGTGGCCGTTGAAGTCGTTGGATATGAACTTCGTCATTCCAAAAGAGATCATTCCGACGTACAATCGTTTCCAGCAATACTATCAGCAGAAGCACTCGGGGCGAAGACTAACGTGGTTATGGGCATACAGCAAGAATGAATTACGCTCAAACTACGCTAATCAGAAGTACATATTTATGACAAGCTCATTTCAGATGGCGGTGTTAGTACAGTATAACGATTACGATACATTAACGTTCGAAGAACTTGTAACGAACACCGGCATTCCTGAGGATCTCCTCAAGCAGGTTCTCGCGATCTTGACTAAGGCACGCGTGCTTCTACATGATGGCGATGGTGAACCATACGACTTGAACCCGAGTAAGTTCTTCCTGTTAATGAACCCTGAGACAACTTGTATTAAAAAGGCATACAGATTACAAGTCGAAGAAGATTAAAGTGAACCTGAATCAGCCCATCAAGGCTGCTGAGAAGGCAGAGACAACTGAAGTCCTCAAGAATGTTGATGAAGATCGCAAATTTGCAATTCAAGCCACGATTGTCCGGTAAGCATTGGCCTTGTTATTAGACCCGTGATGCCTTAGCTCATAATATGCATGCTTGATCTAATTTAGAATTATGAAAGCACGGAAGACAATGAAGAACCAGGCACTGATTCAAGAGGTCATCTCACACATCTCGACGCGTTTCACGCCCAAAATTCCAGATATCAAGAAGGCGATTGACACGTTACTTGAGAAGGAATACATGGAGCGAGTTGAAGGCACGCGGGACACGTTTGCCTACGTTGCATAGGTTGTCCATCATTGGTCTTCCCCACTCCTTCACTCGTCAGTTACATCACCTACACCTTCCCTCCTCTTGTGCATGATTTCCTTCCCGCATACTGTGTAGTATACAACTCCCATTTCTGCCATATGGATGAGGACGAGCAGAACGCTGAATGTGAATGCAAGGCGGACATGAAATAGGTCGTTCATAATATCCTAGCTCTGTCAATGCTTAGATACGCTGTGTTGTCATTCATAATTATCTATCACATTTGTTGCAAGTATCTTTTCACATTCTAGCTCGTGGGTAGCAACGATGGATGTATTGCAGGTATGCGGGGCCTACTGACCTTGTTAAGAACTCGAGTGTTTTCTCAGAACGGACCACCAGGTTGAGCAGATTTAACAAGAGCTTTCATCCATCCCGCATGCGTGGCAGTGCCAAAATGGACATTTCCTTGCGTAATTAAAGATTTTTTGGCGGAAATGCATGATTTTACTGCGGCAAACAGTTGCTAGAAAGGTGGTGACAAGAACGACCGTCGGCTTCAAGAGTCAAGAGGTGCAGAAAGTCTGGTCTTATCCAAGTTCATTTCCAAATTAGGTGAAATAAAGTCACGTGGAGTTCGCAATGTAGCTGGGGCCAACTCCATCTTTGAGGACCTCAGCTTAAATTGGGCCACAACTATCCGTTTAAAAACCTACCATCCAACATGTGCACTACCAATATCTTGTTCCAACATGTCTGTACCCAACTCCTCGGGAGAAGTACTCCCTCTCGACTCAGACCTTAGAGCAACCTGGCAAATCCTCGAAGAGGGTATCAACGACTGCATGAGACTGCGCTACACTGATATGTCTAATGAACGGTACTTGGCCTTATTTGACACCGCGTACAATAATCTACAATTACAACTCGCCGACATCTTGTGCAAACTCAATACGACAGTGTGCGTACTTCCACCCTTCTCAAGCGAATTGCAGTGGTACTGACACATGTACTAATCTATGCAGCTAATATAATTGAAAGAGGAGTGCACCTATACGACAAGCTCACGGAGTATCTTATCAATTATGTAGGAGCTGTACGAGAGGTATGTGGTCTTTAACGTCAACAGAATTCGACATATTCACGCGGTTGTTTCATAGGGCGCCGAAAATCATAGAGATGAAGATTTATTACGTTACTATGCAAGGGAGTGGGATAGATACAAGTTTGGCGCGAAGTACATAGCTCGCCTATTCTCTTTCCTAAGCGATCACTTTAGGGAGCGGATGTTGTCTTTCCGACCGTCAGCGACAGTCTATACGATTCGTACAGTAAGCCCTCTCGAGGTCCCCATTCAAATCCCTACTGACACGTTACGAATTACAGCTCACATTAGTCCAGTGGAAGCAAGGGATATTTGACCTCATTCTCGATGGGAACAAGCTAGTCCGTGCTACCCTTGAACAAATCGAAATTGAGCGGAATGGCGGATCGATCGATGAGACTCTTGTGAAGAGAATCATCGACTCGTTTGTCTATTTGGGAATCGATACGGAAAATGCCAACGAGGAGTCCCTCGACATATACAAAGACCACTTCGAAAATCCTTTCATCGCCGCTACTGAGGAGTACTACAAGGCCGAGTCAGAGGCGTTCTTGGCTGAGAACAGCGTCTCAGACTATCTTAAGAAGGTCGAAGGGCGGCTGAAGGAGGAGCAAGAACGTGTTGACATGTATCTGCACCATATAACGTGGGACAGGTTGATTAGTACATGCGAGCGTGTCCTTATTCGCGATCGTGCCGAGGCGATGAGGGAAGGATTTAAAAACCTGCTCGATCTCGGCAGGGACAGGGATTTGCACAGCATGTATCACCTTTTTAAACGGATCTCGGACAAGAAAAGTCTAGAGCTTCTATGTAAACAGTTTGAGGAGTACGTCAAGAACGCCGGTCTAGCAGCTGTCAGGGAGCTCGTGGGCACCAGAGACGACGTAGCAGAGAAGACTGTTAATCCGAAGACCTACATTGAAGCATTGAGCTGGGTCCATGAAGAGAACTTCGGTACTGTATCCCGAGGCTTCCGTAACGACAAGGACTTTTTTGCAAGCCTCGACCGCGCGTGCTGTGAGTTCATGAATCGCAACGCTGCGACAGGAAGTTCGACGAGCAAGAGCCCGGAAATACTTGCGGATGGAGCGGATGCGATTCTGTGCAAGGGCAATAAGCTATCCAGACACCAACTCGATAGGGCTATCGACCAAGTGGTATGCTTGTAGTCTATGCGTGGGAGAAGTACTCTACTGACGAGACGGCTTAATAGACAACCATTTTCGAGTACATTGAAGACAAGGATGTCTTCGAAGAAATCTATTCTATGAAGGTCTTGAGGCGCCTTATTGACGATACTTCTGCATCTGATACAGAACAAGCAAATGTGATCTCGAGGATGATGGAGATATGCGGTTACGGTTTCGCGCAAAAATTAAAACAGATTTTCGCCGGTAAGCGTTTCCTTTTTACTTATCCTACATCCATTCTTAACTGAACCTATCCAGATGCGGACAGCAGCAAGCGTATGACGACTACTTTCGAGGAGCAGAAAAGCAATATTCACTGCGAGGATGGCATTTCTTTCAGCATCAAGCTCTTTGGTTCAAACCTTTGGCAGTTGTCGAGGCGAGACATGAATTTCGTGATTCCGAAGGAGATCATTCCAACATACAACCGATTCCAAGAGTACTATCAGACAGAGCATAGTGGACGCCGTTTAAGTTGGCTATGGGAATATGGCGGGAATCAATTACGCGCCAAATACTCCGGACAGAAGCACATCTTCATCACAAGCTCTTTTCAGATGGCAGTGTTGTTACAGTATAACGATTACGATACATTGACGTTCGAAGAACTTGTAGAGAACACCGGAATTCCTGAGGATCTCCTCAAGCAAGTTCTCGCGATCTTGACCAAGGCATGTGTGCTCTTACATGATGGCGATGGTGAACCATACGACTTCAACCCGAGTGAGTCCTTTATTAGTAGTGGGCATCTGAACTGGATTAGATAACGAACGTGCACAGACTTCAAGTCAAAGAAGACAAGGGTTAATTTGAATCAGCCCCTTACGGCTACTAAGAATGCAGAGACGACTAAGGTCCTCAAGGATCTTGACGACAACCGGGAAAATGAGATAAAAGCAGCGATTGTCCGGTACGTAGCTCATTCTTATAGTCTCGACGAGAGTTGTCAGCTCATCGTGTATTTCTCGACTTTCCCCTAGCATTGTGAAAGCAAAGAAGATTATTAAACTCCAGGCACTGATCCAGGAAGTCGTATCGGAGTTGTCCAAACGCTTCGTGCCCCCTGTTCCTGCCCTCAAGACGGCAATTGACAGGCTAATAGACCAAGAATACATGGAGCGGGTTGAAGGCGAATGGGATACGTATGCCTATGTTGCGTCGTGAGCTAGTCGTGCTTTTTATTCATATGCTGTCTCCTCTTCCTTTAATATCGTTCATGATCTTGCATACGATGTGCGGCATGCGCGTTACTTACTACAAGGTGGATATAGAACATCACGGGCTACATATATTATTGAGACTCTGTCATATTTAGACACCTTTTCCTATCCATTATATTTCTACGACAATGATCACGACTATTCTTTTCCGTCCTTGTAGACATCGTACAGAAATAGCCACATACATACGCGTGCTTTGGTTTTGCTCCCTCGACCTCGACCTCTGAAACTTATATATCACGGATAAGAAACACAGGCAGATAACATACAAACACATAGGGAAAGGAAAAGAAACAAGAAGACAAAGACGTGATAGGCTTCTGTAAAGTTCTTCTGCGCGATAATCATATGCGAACAATCTAATCAACGTAAATATAAGTCAATGGGTAAACAAAGTCTCAAGGGAGATCGAGAAGGAGACTAGCCAGCAATACAGACACCTGTATTACTCCCTTATCAAGAGTTAGTTCCAAATGATAGCCCTATCGCCGAGTAATATTACAATACTTTGAAATCTGGGAAGCTCATGCTGAACACCGCAATCCTTGAAAAACAGCTCGGGCAGGCTCGGACGAATTGCGCGCTCACTACGCGGGCTAGAAGTACATATTCATCACAAGTTCCAGCTGACAGTACTAGTGCCCTTGTAGTACAATGATAACTCTCTTTGACATTCGAGAAGTTCACGACGAGCGTCGGCATTCCTACACAGCACCTCGAGTAAGATCTGGAAACTTTGACTAAAGCACGCGTGCTTCTACATGCCGGAGATGGCGAGCCACACGACTTAAATCCGAGTAAGTTCCTGTCTTGTTAGTAGACTCAAACTGGACAGCACAACCAACATTCTTGGGCTTCACGTCAAAGAATGCCAAGGTCATCAGCCTGTTAAGGCTGCTGGGACAGCTGAGTCAAAACCAGTACTCGTGAGCGTTGACGATAATCGGAAATATGCAATTCAGTTAGCTATTGTCCAGGATATAATTCCTTCTTACAGCTTCGTCCAGTCGTCAATCCACCAAAGGCTGGTCCGACTTTCCAAAGCATTATGAAAACACAGCAGACCATCAATACTGGACACCGATCCTCAAAGTAGTGTCACATTCACCTTCCCATTTTGCATCAAGAAATACATGGAGCGAGTTGAAGGCGAAAATGACATACACGCCTATGTTGCATGAGCTGGCCGTGTTTTTCAACGTCATCCTTCATGTTGCTCATGGTCTTTTATATGGTGCGCAACATATGCTTTAGTTACCACAAGGAGGATAGAACAATACAGGTTACCTACTCTATCAAAGCTTTGTCATGCTTAGATACGTGGTTGCTGACATTTATTATTTTCTACTACAGCAGTAGTTGCGAAGTTTCGTGTCTTCTTTGTCTTCTTGCAGACAACGCACGGAATATTGAAATAGGTGCATATATGCGCGTGCCTTGGATTTGCGTCATCTCCGGAAGCCTCTGGAGTTGTGTTCAATAAGGTCTTGGATACAATGTATATCCTCGGATTTTGTACGTTTGGACGAAGATATGATCAATGTTTGATATCAGGGCTATGAAGAGACACAGGAAGCAACATGCATGCATGTAGTGAAATAAAAGGAAACAAGACAAAGACGTGAAACGCTTCTGTAAGATTCTTCTGCGCGATAATCATAAACGAACAATCTAATCAAATTGAGAATAAGCCAATAGGTAAACAAAGTAACAAAGGTGATCGAGGAAGAAAGAGCCTCACCAGCGATACAAGCGTTTGAATTCTGAGGCAAGGTGAAGATACCATTTAGGACTTCCATACTAGGAGAGCGAGCGAGCCAACGTAGAAGTAGATGAAGTGTTTTGTTTCTGTGTGAATTTATGTCAGTATAAATCGTGACTAATTCACGGAATATTTTCAACGCGACTATGCAGATCAAAATTGATCCAACATGAACGCATACAGCGTGCAGCCACATATCACACGGTGCAGTATGAGCGTTCTCCGCTCGAGCGCCATAATCAAGCGCATGTATGCCCATAAATTATCAATATGAATGCTCACCATGCGTGACATAGCTTCCGAAGTTCTTGCCGACAACTACATGCCAGGTCGGGCCATAACGATTGTCGAAGTCTTTTTTGATCTGTGCTGCGATGTCTTTTTCGATGTTATATTTGTCGAGAGCAGCAGCAGCGATATCGATAGCCTCCTGTTGCATCTCCTCTGTCATGTCGACGTTCTTGATGACAGCCTTCGGGAGAGAGTCCTTGCCCGGCGACGCGCCCTCGGGAAGGTTCGCAGCGGATGTTTGCATGTCACCCTTTTCGGCCATTATTTCTCGACTTCAAGACTAACGGGTTCGAGAAGTACGAGAGAAGAAGAGAAAGGGGGGTAGAGGCTTGAGGACGAAGGGCGGGAGTAGATGCAAAGGAGCAGGTAGGTATTTGAAGATTGAGAGAGACTTGCCTGACGCGAGTCGCGTGTTGTTGACGCGTGACAGCGTGACAGTGACGATCATTGACCGTACATGCTCTGACTTTTGGCGTCTGCACCGATTCTGCAGCAGAGCTGCATGCATCGAAGCACAATCTCGAGGTTGCCACTACTCTTACGCATTGAAAGAAGCTATAAATGGGTAATCTAATGGCCTGAGTTATCTCTTCTCTGGCACACGCGTATTAAGCATGACCGAATGTTCTCCTGCTTCCGGATAGACTAGCGGTATTAAGAGTCGTTTTATTTTATTTTATTGCGCAATCCACGCATTTGGAACGTGAAGAACGGATGGGGGCAGTGATCGGTGAACATTGACATCTCCCTTTGTTTGACAGTTGATCCCACGACTCAATCATGTCTAGGACTGGGTAAAAGTAAAGACGCGTTTGAATGGCTCCCTCAACGCACTAGCATTGGCTAACGAGAATAGTGATTTATCATTCACAAGACCACATCAAACATAAACGCCGAATGCGGGTAGGTAAAGCCGGACATGCCTTCATGCTTCTGTGATTAAGTTGACAGCACTACTAATATAACTCAAGCTTCTCTTCACCTACCGTACAGACTCACACTGCCGGACTGCAATTCGTTTGCTTGCTCAGTAATACTCCGATGAATGGCTTGGCTTATCATTACGCTTCTGTTCCTTCCATAGTGTTTGAATTTCGGACTTGGAACGTATTGATTCCTCGGGTGGACTGCAGTTACAGCCATAGCGGAGAAAATGACCGAGTATGGCTTTCTTATTACCAAGACTGAGTGTAATGTAGCCATTAGTTATCAAGGCTAAGGGTCTGGATCTGGACTCTTGATGGTGCAGCCCCTTATCGTGGGACGCGAGGTTGTGCATAGGAGTAAGCTAAGACTCATGCATAGTGTATTAATGATTATACAGTACAACTTGGATGTATTTTGCTTTTTGTGTGCAAAAGATAGGTTGAGCCAGAGAGCAGAGTTTTATGGTATAAAGTAGTGTTATCACACAGTAAATGGGTACTCTCAGCTTGATTTTTCAATATTTAATTTATACAAGGTATTTAGTCATCTTCTATCACAATTGATCCTTGTTTCCTATATTTGTCCCACTCACTTTTTCTGTTTTCATACTCACTGGTTCCTTTCACAGCAAAATAATCTACCTCTTTTGCAAGTCTTACAAGGCTTGTTGTATTAGTCACTCCTGAGACCAGCTCTCCAGCCTTATCCTTAGCTTTCTTGTTACTGTAAGATATACTCACTTTACTAGTCCTAATCCTTAGGAATAGTAACAGAATAGAGTATAGAGGGTAAGACTTGTAGACTTGTATAGTGAGAGGGTAGAGGAGTCCTACTTTAGTCAAGCTACAAGTGTAGCCTAGTAGATTGGTAGTAGAGTACTTCCAAGTACTAGGTAACTTAAGTTGATAAAACTATCTTTTGAGGGCCAAACTGGCCTCCTTATATACCTTTTGCTAGAGTAATGTTACTCTAGTAACTTTAGTAACTCCCTTCACTGTTGTTCTCATAAAGTGGAGCTGGCTAATCCTTTAGACTGTATGCTACACTGGTTTGTGTCTTCTATTAATCTGCTGACACTGGTTTGTGTCTTCTTGTATCCTAGATTAATCTTCTAATGACTCCTTTACTGTATTATTATGTCTTCTATACTTCCTCTCATACTTCTAATGACTCCTTATGAGTCCTCCTGACTAGTTATGCTGTGTAAGCTGTGTAATGCTTTTCCCATGAAGTGGAGCTCTCTATTGTTCCTATGACTCTGTCTGACTCAACCTGTACTTCCTGTACACTAGTTTGTAATACACTTTCTTATAAGGTAGAGTATTATGACTTCTAATGACTCCTTATGACTTCTGTAATATAAAAGGCTGTGCTTCTGTACTGCCCCTAGAACTTACAACCAAAGTTCTAGACTGCCTTGTGTACACCCTAGAACTGACAACTAATGTTCTAGATCTTTCCCTAAGTCTTCTTTAATAGACTTAGTTTAGGAGACAATTATCCTTATTAACTTTTAGCCTTATTTTTATGCTTCTGTATTCAATCATAGAACTTACAACCAAAGTTCTAGATTGTCTCATGTATTCCTCATGTTGTCCTCATATAGTCCTCATGTTTATAACTTTATTACTTTCCTATCTATATAGGCAAAGTGTATAAAGGAGACTACTTTCCTATAGTCTCTCCTTAGAGCTCTCAGTTCCCTTTCCTTTACTAGTACTAGTCCTTCTCAAGTATAGAGCTACAGAGTATTAGCTCTAGCTCTTTCCTAGCTTTAATGGTCCTTTGTCTTTGTATAAAGTGTTTCTAGCTAACTATGTAGTAAGTAAGTATAATATTTTCCTTTTATCTCTTCAGGTTTTCTCCTAGTCTTTTCCTTTATACTTCTTACTCTAGACACTATACTCTTTCCAGATCCCTTCTCTATACAAGTATTCTAAATGACTTGTCTTTAGTTGAGGTTATTAAGTAATACTGTGCTAGAGTATGTG